AAAAGTTTTGACAGAAAATTTTCAACCAGTCCTACTCATTATGCTGAAGATTGGTGTTCCAAAAGATACAGTTTGCAAAATCAAAACTGAAAGAACAAGGATTGTAAACACAAAACACTGCCATCTTGGCCAGAACTCTAGAACTAACTATCAGTGATCAGCCCTTACATGACTCAGAATCCAGAGTATGAGGCTGATATATCTTATTTTCTTTCAATTATCTGATTTTCCTACAAAGATGAGAGAGTTATGAAAAAAAGTGGTGTTACTTTTGTAGCATGTGTAGAATCAAAGAGATGCAGAAAAGCAGACATACAAAAAGGATGTCAGGTAGTCTTTGTTAAATCATCCCTGTAATGATGTCAGCAGGAATCATTAGCATAATTTTCTTTTCCAAAATCATAGGAAGGCATTCTTGTTTCTGATTACTTCTGTTCCTGAACATAGAGAAATGGTATGGGTATCTCTCATTGTGCTTAGCTCCTCTGGATTCAGAACATGTTCTCCTTCTCAAAATATGTTGAAACCACAACAAATCAATTCCAGATCTATCCAAATTTTAAATTCAGTGAGGTTTGCAAAGGCATATCATTTGAATCTCTAATCTCAGAACAAGTCAAACTACACAATTTCGGGAGCTCACTGATCTTTTCATTGACAGTAGTTTCATCAGGTTCTCATTGGAAGGAGGCCAAGAACAATGATTATAACGAGCAGTCAGGGTTTGCGTGTTGCTCATTTTATTTAGGAAACGGAGATGGATCTGAAGCCTCAAATACTGAGGGATCAGGTCTTTTTACATCTCATCTTGAAGTCAGCACCATTCTGTGGCACCCAGCTTATTTTTTCTTGGAAGTTTTCCATCCCATTGATCAGGCCTGACCCTGCTTAGCTCCTTATATAGGATGAGATCACAACTTGAGGAGACATGTTGCTTCTCACTCCGGAAGTAGATGCATTTCAGTGATAAGTGTCTACATAAAGTGTTCCAGAACCTTTCTGGATAAATGTCGCTTATATAAATCAGTATAAATCAAATGGATAAACAAATATGTTTTTTGAAGTAAATATTAAACTAATTGGCACATGAAATTACAAGCCCAACAGCAAAGGTTTTAAATGAATCTGTAAACTCGGTGTTTGTACCCTGTGGCTGGAGAATTGCAAATATAGTACCTATATTTAAGAAAGGAAAAAGGAAGGGGTCTGGGAAACTATCAACCTGTTAGTTTGACCGCAATTGTATACAAGGTCTTAGAACAAATGTTGAAAGATAGAGCAGTTAAGGACCTAGAAATAAATGATATTTGGTATAAAATACAATATAATTTTACAAAAGATAGAACAAGGCAGACCAACCTGATCTCTTTCTGTGAGAGAGAAATGAAGTAGATCTGATCTAACTGGATTTCAGTAAAGCATTTGATACAGTTCCATAGGGCAAATTATTAGTTAAATTGGAAGATGGAGATTAATATGAGGATCAAAAGGTGGGTAAAGAACTGATTTAAGGGGAAACTGCAACATGTCATATTGAAAGGTCAGGTTATAAATGGAGTTTCTCCAGGATCGGTCTTGGGACCAATCTTATTCGATGTTTTCAGTAATTACCTTGGCACAGAAAGTGGGAGTGTGCTAACAAAATTCGCAGAAGACCCAAACTGGGAGGCATTGCCAATACAGAGGAAAACTGGAATATCGTACAAGAAGATTTGGACAACCTTTAAAACTGGAGTAATAGAAATGGGATGAAATTTAATAGTGCAAAGTCATGCACTTAGAGACTAATAACAAGAATTTTTGCTATATTCTGGGGACATGCCAGATGGAAGTGACAGAGGAGAAAGAACTGGGTGTATTGGTCAACCACAGGATGACTATGGGCTGCCAATGTGATGCAGCCATGGAAAGGCTAAAACAATACTAAAATGCATTAGGTGAGGTATTTTCAGTACAGACAGGGAAGTGTTATTACCATTGTACTGGTGAGACCTCTAGTGAGACCTCATCTGGAATACAGTGTGCAGTCCTGGTCTCCCTAGTTTAAGAAAGAAATTCAAGCTGGAACAGGTGCAGAGAAGGGCTACTAGGATGATCAGAGGAATGGAGAAGCTACCTCATGGGAGGAGACTTAAGGAGCTTGGCTTGTTTAGCCTAACAGGACAAAGGTTGAGTAGAGTTACAATTGCTCTTTAAAAATACATCAGTGGGGTATACGTCAGGGAAGGAGAGGGGTTATTTAAGTTAAGGACCAATGTTGGCACAAGAACAAATAGATTTAAATTAGCCATCAATGAGTTTAGGTTTGAAATGAGATGAATGTTTCCTACCATCAGAGGAGTGAAGTTCTGGAACAGCCTCCCAAGGGGAATAATGGGGACAAAAAACATAATTCTTTGAAGACTGATAAATTTATGGGATAGGCCCATCCACAACTACTATTAGTAACTATCCTCAATGGCAGGTGATGGGACACCAGATGGAGAGGGTTCTGAGTTATTACAGAGAATTCTTTCCCAAGTGTCTGGCTGGTAGGTCTTGCCCACATGATTAGGGTCTCACTGATTACCGTATTTGCGGTCAAGAAGGAATTCCCCCAAGTCAGATTAGCAAAGCCCCTTTCTCCACAGCCTGGGGCGTGGGTCACTTGGTGATGTGAACTAGGGTAAATGGTGGATTTTCCATAACTTGAAGTCTTTAAATCAAGATTTGAGGACTTCAGTAACTCAGTCAGAGGTTATGGGCCTATTGCAGCAGTTGATGGGTGCAGTTCTGTGGCCTGCAATGTGCAGGAGGTCAGACTAGAGTTAGGGGTAGTCAACAGGTGGACTACGGGCCAAATCCAGACTGCCAGATGCTTTTGAATGGACCACAAAATCTTTTTATTTCCTTATTATTGTCATTATTGTTATTATTTTTGTATTATTTTCTCTGGAATCTGGACCTTGACTATACCTTGACCAAGAAATTTGGACCTTAACAAAAATAATTGATTACCACTGACACTAGATGATCATCACAATCCCTTCTGGCCTTAAAGTCTAGGAGTCTATGGAGCACCTGATGGAGAACTCTCTGAAATCCACCTCCCGTATTAGGTCATACTTTGAGAAATCATCACTCAGATAACTGGATCCCAGACAGTTAAATTCTCTGGAGATAATAGCCAATACCTTGATCTATACCCATAAGTGAATAGGTGCTTCAATAGATCATTGAGCCCCATATGACAAATACTTTTTCTGGCTCATTATACTCCTATGTTCAGGAACTTCATTCTGCAGCAGTGGAAGCTTCTGAGTCCTCGTTGAGCATATCCTGACTATATTGCAGTAATCTAGCCATGATCAACATCAGAGAGGAATGTTCATAGCCTCCAGATCAACCACAGGCAAATAACGGTACACACAGGATGTTTGTCACTTGAGACTCCATGATGACTAATGGTTCAAATATGACCCCAAGACAACAAATCTGCCCTAGTTCCTTTCCTGTAAATATTCAAGTGAGGGCATAACCATGAAGTTTGATTCTAGATCCAGCTCTAAAGGCCCCTGTAATTCAAGGAGGAGTCAGATCTTCTGGATGAAAGGCAGCATATAAATATAAGCTATTCATAACTAGAGCTGGTCATAATATTTTCATCAGAACAGGTTTTCATCAGAAAAAGTTGTTTCAACAAAACCAAACTTTTTAAAGAAATTATATTTCAACAACATTTCCGTTGGAAGGGAAGTATTTCAGAATGACATATCTTTCATTTTGGAAACAAAATTGTTTTGGAAAATTTCAGAGTTGTTTCAAATTTCAAAATTGTGTTTTTATGTTATGATTTTTGGTGGTTTTTTTAATTTTCAGATTATTGTCATTATTTATGTTTGTTTTGTAATGAAACAGCTTGATACAAATAGGAGACACATTGATCTAGAAAAGAAGATAACATGTTTCCATCATTATTAACCCTGACTGACAACTGCACTCATCAGTACTAGCAGCTGCCCTTTATAATATGAACGATAAAATAAAACTAATAGACTATTTCAACTCTGTTATATGATGACCTCACAAGAAGTGTGCATGCTATCCATTATTGCTTATGTGCTATTAATGTTTAAAAAATAATATAAAATGAAAAAAATCTAAGCAAAATTTCAAAATGTTATGAAACAAAACTTTTCCAAAATGACAAAAATTTACAGGATGATTGTTTTGCAAAATATTTTGAAAAACCTTGTTTTCATTCCGATTTGTAACAGAAAAATATTTAAAATGTTGACATTTTCCATGAATCAGAAATAGTGAGTTTCAATCAGCTCTCTTCATCGTCAGGCACTGCAGCTTCACTCAAAAGTTTAGTGGGGGACGTGAAATATACCTAATTCAATTTCAGTTGCTGGGAGAAATTTAGGAAGGCAAAATGTAGTTACCCAAAACTGGATTATGTCTTGGATACTGGAGAAACTATATGGGAAAGAGTATTAAAAATAAACCTGCTATATAGCAGATTTGCTTATAGAGCCATGGAAGCGGATTCTCCTCCCCACTTATAACAATGTATTGTACACAATATTATTTGGATGACACATTAACAACCCTCTATAGGCTTCAGATTAGACACAAGGCAGCCTCTTCACCTTTATTTCTCTTTTTCTATGCATGAAAGTCTTTTATCAGTGAAGGAAATCAATAAAGAGGAAATGGTAAAAAGAAATAAAAGAGCTATTAAATGTCTGTTATAAATGGTACACTGCCTAATACTTTTCCACTTACACCATATCCATGCACGGTGAGGAGCAATAAACAGTGTTAAAGTAATGTAAAAATCTTGGCAGTAGAAATAGATTTATTTTTAAAGACCCTCCTGTCGTAGATTAAGAAATGAAAATAAGGCACTGTCAGCATTGTAAAAAAAAAAAAAGAAATAAAGTGTAAATCACATTAGTAGCAAAATTAAATAACTTCCCTCTCCATGCAACTAAAATGTTGTGTTATGTTGACAGATCTGGGAAATTTTAGTGGCCGGACAAGAAGCGCAGTCTCAGTACGTGAAGGTCAAGGGGTTGTTCTGATGTGCTCTCCTCCACTTCATTCACCAGGTACAGTAGGCTTCATTTTGTATTGATACTGCTCAGTTTTAGTGTCTGTTCATTATTTTCGAACATGTTTGACTAAAACTTGAAAGGTGAAATATGCACAGTTCTGCTGACAGTTCTTGGAGTACCAAAGGAGTAATTAAAGATCATATACTGTAAATGACATTGAGTAGGCAGGGTTTCTGGGATAAGATTGTCCTATTCTCACTATTCCTGTTGCCTGTAACAGCAATAGTCTTCATAACACGAGTGAGTAATATGCTGCCCTTGGGTCACAGAAGGTGATTTCTTTTAGGGTTTAGAAGCCTTCAAAAATGTCTTCCAAATGTCAGTGCTGAGATACAGTTGTTGAATACAAATTGACGTTTGTTTTGACTAGTACAGCCATGATTTTGGTTGCATTCCCTTGCTGCATAGCTTTGTTTCCAGCACAACAGCATCATTGCTAGAAGTCAGAAATAATCATAAATCCCAAGAAACGGATCCATCTGACACTTTCCAAACAAAAGCTTAGAAAAATGCCAATGTGGTTAAGTTTTTCCTTCTCAAACTCATTCTCCTGCAGACGGTGTGTGGATGGGTAAATAATTTTTATAGAAAGTCTGATATTTGCACACTGTATATTCAGGGGTAATTCCTGGAGAAACTTTAGATAATTCAATAACTTTCTTGTCCATAGATACTGTAGAATGGTTCTTTTTCCTACTTGGGCTTGAGTTCCATGTTTAGAGGAGATTTGCTTCTTTGTTCATATAGCAGTCCTAGAGAGAAGTTATACTCTGTAGAAAGAAGAGCTTTCAGAGGAGAGGTTAAACCAAAGGGAGCACAATCTTGTTTAATTTGATAGAACAGGGTTTGAGTTTGTTTAGAGGTTTTTGTTTTGTTTTGGTGGTGTTTTTTTCTTTCGTTGGAGGGGCTGCAGGTGGGGTTGGTTTCCATAGCACTGGGCTGATTTCCAACTATCTGTCCTACACCTCTCAAAAAGCTCACTGCTCTTTTCTGGGCCCATTCTTCAGTTGCTCTTATCTTTTAAAGGTCTCTTCTAATCTAGGACGCCATAGTATCTAAGCAATTAGCTCCTTTTCATTCAATTCAATTGCACAGTACTGTGGCATCACTACTGCATGTGAGAATTCAGTGAGGAGAAGGAGTGGGGCAATTCCAGCACATAGACAGGTACTGGGTCTGGCTTCACAATACCGGCAGAGATTGAGAGGACAGAGGGAATTGGTCATTGCTGCATTCATAAGCCACCCCACTCTTTACCATCTATCATTTCCCAAAACACCTCATCTTCCTACATGCTACCCAGACATATGCCCTTCATATGTTTTCCCAATAATTATGCCTCCAGCTATGCCTTTCCAAATCTTCTGAAGGGTAAAAGAATGGCACAGGTGTTAAGAGTTACTCCTGAGGGCATTCTGTGCCAAAAAAAAAATTCTGTGCACAATATTTTAAAATTCTGCAAGTTGTATTTATCAATAAATGCAGAGGTTCCAGCATGGCAGTGGGGAGGACAGGCCACTGGCTGTATGAAGATGGGAAATCACCCTGCAGCCACTCCTCCCTCCACCCTCAGGACACAGACTCAGTGGTAAGGCTGCATCTGACCCTGACACAGCACAAGTCCTGGGCCTGCCCCAGAAACACCCTGGGGCCTGCGCCTCTGTGGCAGGTGCACCAGGTGTGGGGCAGGCAGTCTCAACCAGGCAGGATCCAAGTGTGGAAGGACTCAGTGTGGGGGGATCCAGGTGTGGGGTGAGAAGATTCTGTGTGGGACAATCTGGGTGCAGGCAGCTCAGTGGGGGGTCTAGGTGTGAGGGGATCTGGATGCACAGAGTTTCGTGGGGGCACTTTCCAAGTGCAGGGTTAATGGGACTCTGCAGGGGCTTCTAGATGAAAGTGGTTGGGGCTCAGCGGAGGGGTCTGGGTTTGGGGGTCTCTGCAGGGGGATCTAGGTGCTGGGGGAGTGGGGCTTGGTGGGGTTCTGGATGCAGCTAGTTTAGTGGCAGTGGCAGTGGCATGGGCATCTGGATGTGCGGCTCAGAGCAGTGCAGGAGGGTGGAACTCATCAGGGTGGGTGTTTGAGTGCAGGGAGCTCAGTGGGGGGGTGGTATGGCTGCAGGCGTGGGAGTCCGGAGGCAGGGGGTCTAGGTGCAGGGGGGCTCCAGATGCCGGGGTTGAGGTTCAGTGCGGTGGGGTTCGAATATGAAGGGCGAGGGGGGGTTCTGAATGTACAGGGTGAGGCTTAGCCAGGGTGTCTGGGTATGGGAGGTCCAGATGCATGGGGGTTGGGTGGATGGGGAGCAGCTCCCCAAACAGTGACCCCACCCCCCTCAGCTGAGGAGCGATGGGGGCAGGAAGCAGGGCAGAATGCTGAGCTTTCTGCAGCTGGAGAAGGCTTCTGGGGGTGGGCCTGACACAGCCCCAGCCACTCCTTAAAGGAGAAGGGGAAGTTCCATCCTCTCCTGCCTCCAGCCCAGCTGGGACTAGCAGCTGATCCCAGCTCAGGGTAGGAGACAAAGATCTGAGGTGGAATGTCAAATCTAACCACTCCCCACATCCTCTTAAGCAACGCCTCCAACAAAAAGGTCCTACTTCTCCATCCTTAAATTAGTGGGACTGCTCACTTGAGTAACTGCCCACCAGCATGAATAAGGACTGCACTTGGGTCCTTTAAAGCCAGTGACGGTATTGTAGTGGCAGGGCACAAATGACTCTGTGAAGAACAGGGATGAAAGAAATACTGGTTTATGAATGTAACTTGTTTTCACATATGAGAAAAAGTAAGTGTGATTAAATAACACACAGGTTACTAGTTCCTTCAGGCACCAGTCGGTGGGGAATACTTTTTATCAACTGCTTGCCAATCTCCAAACAAGACTGCTGAACAATTGATAAAAATACTACACATTTATTTCCAGAGGGCTTTGCAATGTAATCACAGAGTCTTTTTCATATTCATATAGGTTATTCTGGTTATTAATATATTTTTGCTCTGATGTGTTATCCAGGGATGATGATGATGATGATTAAAAAACCCCAAAGAAACAAAAATGAAGAAAATGAAATGTGTTTTTAAATAAATCATGTGATTAGTTGTACAGTTTCTTGTTCCAAATAATTTCCATATGAAATGAGCACAAAATACCCCTCTAAAATAAAGTTACCAACTGCAGCACCATAAACCTGTGTGGGATGTTGAGCAAAGTCAGAGGGCCGGAGAATGACGCTGAGTTTTGACTTGCATTAACAAGTCCATTTTTCAGGGTTGCTTTCACAGGAGATCACTGAATGGCAAAATGAAATGAACCTTTCTCAGGCTATCAGGATGGGAAAGAGTTTTTTTCTGTTGGGGTACCTTCCCCACATATTGAAATGAAAAAAAATATCAGGAAACTGATTTTGGATACATACATTCCTTCTGAAGACAGAACTATACTGATGGACTCTTTTTAGGCCATCATTCCCAGGATAATACTTCCTACATCTTCAGAGGACTCCCTACACCATTTCAGTTTATCCCTCTCCAGCAGCTTTGACAATTAACTCAAAATATGTAATTGCTCCCTCACCTGGTGTGGCCATCCTGCCTAGATAAACTAGTTCCTCTCCCTCCATGAGCCCTCTTATGTTAACTCTCGCTGATAGATGCTCATCAGTTTCAGTCTCCTGAAATGACAACCTTTGTTCAGTGAGTCTATTTTAAGAGGCCTTTGCTGAATTTTTTCTATGGACAATAGTATGATTCTTTATTGTGACTTTCTGAAGCATGTAAATATGGGTCTTTATTCAGTCATTTAATTGTCTTAATTACAAGGCTCACTATAGTGAGATTAAAAATTAATGGAAGATTTTATCCTTGTTTACATTTTTCCCCTGCAGAATTAATGCTTTCAGTTGGCCCTTTTAATGCTTTTATTCAAAGCTTTTAATATCTACTTAATAGACAATGTGTATTCTCATTGTTAAAATTAGAGCAGTCTTTACGTACTACATTCTGTGAACATGAAAAGCAGATGCATGCTTCTTCCTGCCTCAAAGGGATATTGCCGTCTGCAAAGGATGTTGCTTTTACAGTCTTTCCACATAACAGCTATACAGATGTTAAATTGCCGGAAGATTTATATACATAGAGAACATGAAACAATGGGTGTTACCATACACACTGTAAGGAGAGTGATCAGGTAAGGTGAGCTATTACCAGCAGGAGAGCGGGGGGGCGGGAGGGACCTTTTATAGTGATAATCAAGGTGAGCCATTTCCAGCAGTTGACAAGAATGTGTGAGGAACAGTGGGGGGTGGGGGGAAAGGATGAACATGGGGAAATAGTTTTACTTTGTGTAATGACCCATCCACTCCCAGTCTTTATTCAAGCCTAAGTTAATTGTATCCAGTTTGCAAATTAATTCCAATTCAGCAGTCTCTCATTGGAGTCTGTTTTTTAAGTTTTTTTGTTGAAGAATTGCCACTTTTAGGTCTGTAATCGAGTGACCAAAGAGATTGAAGTGTTCTCCGACTGGTTTTTGAATGTTATAATTCTTGACATCTGATTTGTGTCCATTTATTCTTTTACGTAGAGACTGTCCAGTTTGACCAATGTACATGGCAGAGGGGCATTGCTGGCACATGATGGCATATATCACATTGGTAGATGTGCAGGTGAACGAGCCTCTGATAGTGTGGCTGATGTGATTAGGCCCTATGATGGTGTCCCCTGAATAGATATGTGGACACAGTTGGCAATGGGCTTTGTTGCAAGGATAGGTTTCTGGGTTAGTGGTTCTGTTGTGTGGTGTGTGTTTGCTGGTAAGTATTTGCTTCAGGTTGGGGGGCTGTCTGTAAGCAAGGACTGGCCTGTCTCCCAAGATCTGTGAGAGTGATGGGTCGTCTTTCAGGATAAGTTGTAGATCTTTGAAGATGTGTTGGAGAGGTTTTAGTTGGTGGCTGAAGGTGATCACCACTAGCCATCATGTACACTGGTCAAACTGGACAGTCTC